TTACCTAGAGGTACTTCCTGGTCCCTTGCCTCTGAGGTTCTTATAGCAGAGGGGATAGAAAGCCCAATGGAAACCCAAGATAGACAGAAGCAGAATCTATATGTGTCTGGTTCCTGTCAAGCTTCCCTGATACGGCCCTGGTAAAACTTCATCAAAAGTGGAAGGCGTTTGCAAAGCTGAGGCCAAACCAGTACCACTTTCCACATAGGCTGTGCATGTAGAAGGCCCAGATGCCTCTCAGGGTCTCTGAGAAGATATAAAGGTACTGAGGGGGCCAGGGGAGCACAGCGCCTGGGATTCGGATGAGAAGCTGCAGGATGGAAACTTTGCATCCCAAGGCCATGGTGTGAAGTCAATAGTGGCAAGTTCAGTCTGGTTATTACACTAGCCAGTTCAGAGGAAGAGTGAAATCCCCGAGGTCAGCAGGGCAAAGTGCTAGAAGTTGTTGAGGATGCAGAGAGCAGCAGGAAGACAACTCTGAACTCGCTCACACACCCTGGCCCTGTGTAGCAATGCCATCCTGGGGATGAGAAGGAGGAAGAGAGAGAAACGCAGAAAAGCCTAAGCCGCCACCACAAAGAGACAGAGCCCATCCAAAAGAGGCTGCTCTAACCTGGTGGAAACACTTTTAAGTTGGTAAGTTTAGTGCCTCCCCACAATATCAGAACGAGCAAGAGATGACAGGTATAGGTTGTATACATTTTCCTTCCATATTGAATGATAGCCTGTGTGTGTTCCACCACTGTGCCCCACTCAAAGGTACCAGGGGGCTGTGCCCTGCTCAAAGTCACTTGGGTAAGGGAGGGCAGGAGGAATCAAAATCCCATCTCACACCCACCTGCCCCTGCACACTCTGGAGCTGGGCGGTGACAACCTGGAGAAAGGGCGTCTTTATCTAATTACTCTGCCTAAGGGCATGCCTTTTGTTAATTAGCAAAAAAGGAGCCTGTTTTGAGCTCTGGGAAGCGGAGGTGCAGTTGAGGAGGTAATTAATGATAGAGCCACACAGACAAGGTTTTAAATAAACTGAATCCATGTAGCTTCCTAACCCCAAGGAAAGACAAAATTAGTTTACACAAAAATCATCATTAAAGAACTAATGAAAATAATGTGTGAATTCAGCCACCAGACATTACATTCCAGAGCCTCAAGAAAAATCAATGGTCATGAAAAAAAGTCATTCGCATAAGCGACACCATGGGTGAAGTCAAGGAGTGCAGACTCTGGAGTCAGAGGATTGAGTCCACTTGAGCCTCTTCAGCTTTGTCTTCTCTTTGGCAGAGAGAATATTTCCCCTGCCTGTGACTGTTGTGAGGATCAGTTGAGATAATAAATAGAAAATGCTGAGCCTCAAGCCCGGAGTAGAGAAAGGACTCAAGAAGTATTAATTTCCAGTACTTGTTATTTAATTTCACTTTTGTCTGCATCCCCTTGTGTGAAATGGTTTGAGCAATTAAGAAAAACCTTCCCTCAGGGACCTTGCCTTGTTGCAATCTTCACTAGATACACTTATCTCTGCCTCCACCTCCACCTCCAGCTCTTCTCCCTCTCTATCTCTATCTCCTTGTTGTCTGTCTATCTAATTATTTGTAAATGAGCTGATGGGTTTGTTGTTGTTGCAGCCTGGCTAATGTTATCCAGAGATTTCTGAAACCTCAGGAGTGGCATGGAATGGTAGCCCCTGTTGGAACCATTTACCTGCTTTCCTAACACCTGCAACCCCACACAGCTCACACTGACCTGAGGCCTCTGGCCTGTCCTTGGAGGCAAAGACTGTGTAGATAAGATACCTGGTTACCAGCAATCATCTGTAGTTTCCTCAGAGCTAATGACATTGCTTTTCTCTTTGCCCAGATTATGTGAGAAACTTTAAAAAAAAAATTTAATGTGCTCTCTTGATATTTCAGGTGTTCATTGAAAAGTCTATGCCATTTTCCATCTCCCTCTCTTTTCCTAGTTGGCTAATCAAAATAATACAACCAGAAACATTTGTATCTGCAACAGAAAAGAATAAATTTATTTGTGCACATTATATACATAGTATATACATCATATACATATATGTGTGTGTGTGCATACATATATATGGATAATTGATATATTTGGAAGAAATAAAAGGTTTTGTTAAGCAGACAGGTTCTAGAGTTAGATCCTCTGTTGCAAATTGTTGAGGACAATTCACTTCAGTCCTGCCAAAACAAAGTGCATGCTTAAACAAAATGCCTGCTCTGTAAAAATGCCTTGGTCTTGAATAAAATGCCTGCTGTGTCAAAGCCTTTATTTTCTCATCTGGAAAACGGGACCAATAATAAGAACCCTCATTCAATTGATAATGGACAAAAGTACTTGCAGCACAAAGCCTGCCACAGACAATGCCCTCAATTAATGCAAACTATTGATATTATGAAAAATGTCTATTTTCTGACAATGTTTTCAATAATATAAATTGTGCTTTTGTTCACTTCATTTGTTTGAAATAATAAATTAAAATACAAAAAAGTGTCTTAAAAGTGGCCATTTGTCTTTCTTCTCGACTCCTAGTAACGCTTTCCTGCATTTAGGAAATTTTCACCTCATAGGCTTTGGTGAATGAATTCATCTCCCTCTACAGAAAAGAAAAATGCCTGATGCATTTTCTCAGCCTTTATTCCAGGTAGTCAAGTAGACTGTGGACTCCAGCAGTTAGACACACTCCTCACAACCTCCCACCACACGCACACACACACACACACGGCTGTTGGAGTGGCAGGGTCTGAAAGGTACTGTCTGGTAGGATGGAGTGTGCATGGGGGAGTTCCAGATGGCCAAGGCTGCCCTAGCTGTGGCAGCTCCAGGGCCCTAAGGCAGGCCCTGCAGACTAGCTCAGCCTGCAGGCACCCTCTCCTCCTTCTCATTCCCAGGACAGATATTGTGCAGGGGAAGAGTGAGTCCTCCTGCTTGTAGCCACAGGCCCATTGGTCTACTGACCTCCGCCTCCTCAACATTCAACTCCCCACCACTGAGTGTCTTAGAAATGGTATTTATCAGAAAAGAGGGTGAACGGGGCAGCTGCTTTAGGAGGAGCCATCCGAACCAGCCGTTTCCTCTCCTGTCTCCTCAAAAGGATCCAAGTTGTTGGAGTTCACACCTGTCACACACGACATGAGCCAGAGCTGGACAGAAGTGTCAGGGACAACCACTATCCAAGGTTAAAGGAGCCCTGAGGCACCAGAAGATCTCCAAGAAAACCACATGGAATTCATAAAATGGAATTGAATGGAGGAAAAGAGAAGCTCTGTAATGTGGGAAAATGAAGTACTAACAATATTTGAACAATTTCCCTTGATTTAGCCGGGTTACTACTTCAAAACAGTCAGCAAAGCACTTTAACAATGAAAGTTGGGGTGGGAGGGGGCGGAAGTGGAGGGATGGTTGGAAGCGGAGGGAAGCTGTGCATGGTGATGCGTGCCTGTAGTCCTAGCTACTCAGGAAGCTGAGGCAGGAGGATGGCTGGAGCCTAGGAATACAAAGCTGCAGTGAGCCATGATTACACCACTGCACTCCAGCTGGGGCAGCATAGCGAGACCCTATCTCTACAAAAATAAAAATGAAAAGCAAGGGGGAGATAAAAATGTAGTAGTAGTAGCAATACCTAATAATTACTGAAAATTTACCGTACGTCAGGAATCATACTGTGTGTATTTAACTAGTCCGCATAAAATTTTGATATAGGTGTTATTATTATATTCATTTTCAGATGGGAGATTTGAGGCACAGAGATTAAGAAGCTTGCACAGGGTCAGGCATCCAGCCCCTAAGTGGTAAAGATAAATAGATAGACATTAAAAAGTGTTTCAGTGGGCCACGGAGGCTCACGTCTGTAATCCTAGCACTTTGGGAGGCTGAGGTGGGCCGACCACTTGAGCTCAGGGGCTGGAGACCAGCCTGGGCAACGTGGCGAAACTCCATCTCTACAAAAAATACAAAATTAGCCAGATGTGGTGGTGAGTGCCTGTAGTCCCAGCTGCTCAAGAGGCTGGGGTGGGAGGAGGCTGGGGTGGGAGGATCGCTTGCACCTGAGAGGTTGACGCTGCAGTGAGCCATGAGTGTGCCACTGCACTCCAGTGTGGTTGACAGAGCAAGAGCTTGTCTCAAGAAAATAAAATAAATAAAAAATGCTCCAATGATATGGGTAGTTGCTTAGAATATAAGACGAACTGAAAGAATACAGAACACTATACATGTAAATATATCTACAGTCAATAAAATTGTATTAATATTTACATATCTGCAATGAAAAAATCTACAAGTGAACATATTATAATGTGAATAGTAGCAGGCCTTAGTGATATGACTGTGGATGTTTTTGTCGTTATCTTTCCCCATTGCTCTGAGTTTCTTTGACAAGCACTGTTACCAGCATCTTCTACCTATCAACTGTGTGACTTCTGCAGAGTTACTTGATGATTCTGGGCCTCATTCCCCCTGAAAATGAAAATTCCAAGTCTCCATATTACATGATCATTGTGAAGATTAAAAAGGTGAAAAACACATAGAAAAAAAAAAAAGAGCTAGAAAATAGAAAATGCTCATTAAGTGTTTGATATTATAAATGTTAATGCTTATAAATATGCAATAATTAAAAATATTATGCAGAGGAAAACTGTTCATAAACAACTACTAGGCAATTAGAAACCCTTCTCATTTCCATGGAAATTAAGGAACACCCACGGCCCCCTTGCATTTGTGTGGAGGACCCCGTGGAGACTGCTGGCCTGATCTGAGATACACAGGGTGAGCAGGATGGGGGCACAGTGCTGAGCCTGCAGACGACACTAAAGGACCCCAAAAACCACTTTCTTTTCTCTCCCCAATTCAGGCCACACCCTCCAGCCCCTTACCCAAGGCGTCTAGCCACTACGTCTGCACTTTCCTGCCTTCTCCTTGGGGACACCGCCGGGCAGACAGGATGTCGCTGCTAGAAGCATTCGCCCTCTCCTCCCTCTGGGCTCGTGAGTCACTGTCTGAATATTTCAGTCTAGATCAGTAACTAAAATCATTCTTCGTTTCCTTCTTCCACTCTCAGATGCTCACTGGAAATTCTCCTCTTTTACTTACAGTTGGACTTGGATTATCAAAAGTGGAGCAGTTCCAGCTGTCCATTTCCACGGAAATAAAGAAAAGTATTGACATACCTTGCAAGATATTGAGCACAAACTTTGAAACAGATGTCATTCATTGGTACTGGCAGAAACCGAATCAGGCTTTGGAGCACCTGATCTATACTGCCTTAATGAAATCCTCAGCTGGAGGCAGCATGGGTGAGAGGAGCAACAAATTGGAGGCAAGAAAGGATTCTCAAACTTCCACTTCAATCCTTACCATCAAGTCCATAGAGAAAGAAGACATGGCTATTTACTACTGTGCTGCTTGGGAATACACCATATCAGAGCTGTTGAGACAACACGCACAAGATCCTCTCCCGGGGTCTGCGCCCACCACATCCTTCCCAACAGGGGCAACCACAGCTGGTCCCCAGCTGGGCTCCCAGACTCAGGCTCGCTTTCTCTGAGGCTCTTCCGGGGCTTTCCAGGAAGCTGTTTCGGGTTGTGCTTACACCTTCGTTCCAGGCTGATCCCAGGAATTGTGCTCCAGAATCTTTATTTAATACTATTTCTTAATGAGTGTTAAAGACTTGTCTGGGGGCTGAGAGGACACAGGTTATGCCACCGTCCATCATATCACCACCTAGAGACTTCCAGTAAGTAGAAAGGTGCAGTTGAGAGAGGCATCCTTATAACAGACAGTCAAGACAACCCACTTGCAGCCTAACTGTCACTGGCACAGTTTACAACTAAAGAAACGAAAGCTTAGAGAATTGGGCTTGCTTGATCTGCCAGATGAGTCATGCTCTTTGAGCTGGCCTATGACACCATACTAAACAGTTTAAGGATCGCAATTCTCTAAGTGAATGACAGGATATCTGGGATAAACTTGGGAAAGAGTAAGTGCCCTTTTTACTGGGAGGGGTAAGGAGGAGAATTTGCTAGCATGAGATTGTAGGAATAGAGCTCCAAGTCATCCCAGGCTCCCCTGGGACATGTTGGAATAACCCTTGATCTTACCCGTAAAGGAAGAGAGAATTGTATCATGCTTGCGTGTGTGTGTGTGTGTGTGTGTGTGTGCGCACGCGTGTGTGTGTGTCTAAGTTCTCTACAGTGTTCTCAATTCTTTGCATATATTAGCTCCTTTAACCCACACTATTTATAAGGTCTGGTTGGTTGTTCTCATCAAACATATATGACTCCTGATATAAGTGGAGTATTAGTTCATGCACTTGTCCAAATCACAGAGCTGGTATGTGGCAGGACAGCCTAGGGACCCAGGTCATCTGGTTTCTCTTGAATATGACACTAAACTGTTTCTTAATCACAGGAGTAAAAAAGAAAAGACACATTTTTCCTATCCCCATGGAGGAGACAGAACTGACCATCATGGAACTTTAACTGACACAAATTGCTACTGTGTGCTGAAGCGTGTGCCCAGGATTCCAGTGATTAGATGTATTCACAGAATGAGTAAAATGCCAATAAACTACCAATTGACTTTTCAATATAGAAACATAAAAAATTGGAGTTTTCCATTTCTATGTATGTGACAGGTACTGTTATCCACACTTTATGTTCATTATCTTTATTAAGTGATAATGTAAATTTCTTAAGTCTCTGGAAGCTATTAAGACACTGATAGCTGTAGAAAGTGAGACACAAAAATTTCAAATAACTCAGCCGATGTTGGATAGGGTAAGTGGTCTTAGAAGGGTGCATATTGTCATAGGTCACTAATAGTAATATTCAGATGAGCTTTTGAAGGACCAAATATATTTTTAAATATAAAGTTAAAAGAACAGAATATAAAACTGTAAATGTAAAACCCATTAAAAATGTTTAATCCTGTGTAATAATCCAAGTATATTACTATTATAAACATGTAGATAACATGCTTAAAAATAAATGCTGATTGCTCTTGTATTCTTTATTTTAATTAATTAACTAACGTTCTACTAGAGTCTTCTCAAAATATTTTCATCAATTTGCAACACATTTGGTAAGATTTTCTTCAGGGAGGATCAGGTACTTATCCAAGCTTCATGTTTACCAACTTTGTGATCTGGGATGTCATGTGTGCCACACCGTTCTTGTCTGTCAGAGGAAGATAAAGTGTAAAGGAAGTAATGCAAGAAAATGTTGAGAACAATGTTAGCAAGCCTACAATGGATGTTTGATATAACATTAATTTTAAAGTGCATGTAAAAATGAAGTTTATTTAAAAACACTCCTCTCTGTGACATGGTGTTGATAAGACTGTTCTGAAGTCCAAGGCGAGTTCCCACAGATTGCCCTGTCGGTCCCTCCAGCAATTTCAATCAAGTTTCCTCTTGAGGTGCACCCTCATTATAAGTGAAACTGGATTTCTCTGAGTTATAATCTTCATTGTGACATCCCAATTAATTATAAACCAAATACTCCACTGTGTTTCAAATAGAAATGACTATAGCTTTTTAAATGAGGTATGAATAATGCTGGCGTAAAATTTCAGTTTGCCTTTTTTAAAATTGTAAAATACCGTCCATGTTTTATGCTCCTGAGTCCCAAATCCCCAAAACATTAGCAGAAGGATCAATTTTTATGCGAGGTAGAGAAAGCCATATGCTCATTTCTCTGGAACAATGTTGTACAGTCTGAAAATCAAGGGGGAATAGCTAAGTTTGAAGGAGAATTAGTTCAACTCCGGAGCCGCCTCCATCCCATTCCACAGATACATTCCTGTCAGGTCATGGACTCTACTCCACCAGTGGTCAGTGCAGTGCTCCTGGGAACTGGTCAGCTCTGTAGTAGGCCATGAAGTCCCCAGAGGCCACCTGATCCCCCACATTTTTCTCTCTTGCCAAGTCACACCACACCCTCTCCCCACTGACCAGGGCCAGCCAACAACCAGCGTCCTTCTCCTGGGGATATGGTTCAGCAGACAGGAGGATGTCCCTGCTAGGAATATTCATATTTTTCTCCCTCTGCAGCTGTGAGTGGCTCCTCAATTATTTCAATATAGATGAGCGATGAAAATGATTCTTTTTTTTTTTTTTTTGAGACAGAGTCTTGCTCTATCACCCAGGCTGGAGTGCGGTGGTGCAATCTCAGCTCACTGCAACCTCTGCCTCCTGGGCAATTCTCTCTCATGCCTCAGCCTGTCAAGTAGCTAAGATTACAGGCATGAACCAACGTGCCCAGCTTATTTTTGTATTTTTAGTAGAGATGGGGTTTTGTCATGTTGGCCAGGCTGGTCTCAAACTCCTGGCCTCAAGTGATCTGCACTTCTTGGCCTCCCAAAGTACTGTGATTACAGGCATGAGCCACCACATCCAGCCAGATGCAAGTGTTTCATTATCATTTTCTCTTTCTATGTCCCAGGTTCATGGGAATTTCTCTTTTTTGTTTGTAGTTGGACTTGCTAAGTTAAATTTAAAGCCATCAAAAATGTCATCTACTAGAGCTACAGATAAAAGTGTCCAGGTATCTTGTGTGTGGCCCACTATGTTTACAGAGTCTGTAGATATAGTTATACACTGGTACCAGCAGAAACAATCTAAATTATGAGCCATCTGACATATATGACTTCAATAAAAGTCCCAGCTCATGTCTCCTTGAGTAAGAAAAACAACAAACTTAAGGCAAGAACAAATTTGCAAATGCCTACTTCATTCTTTATCATAATCTTTATAGAAAAAGAGGATGAGGCCATTTACTACTGCGCTGCTTGGGACCCACAGCACCAGTGCCACACTGTCCCACATAGCATCCTCTCTTGGGTCTCTGCCCAACCACGTCCTTCCCATGGGAGCAAACTCTATGGGCTCCTAGCTGGGCTCTTAGCCGGAGCCTTGTTTTCTCCACAGCACTTCCAAATCTTTCTGGGAAGCCATTTTGGGTTAATGCCCATGCATTAGGCCCTGCTTTAAACAGGAAGCATGCCTGATTATGACATTCCCAGATATTCATTGAATACTACTTCCTAATGAATTAAGGTTTTGTCTGGGAACGAGTGGACACAGGCTAAGGCCCCATTCCTGTCACCATCTAGAGATTTCTATTAACTGCAAATGGCTTAGGCCAAGGAAGAGAATCATTGTATACCAGGAATCCTGTATGTAATTATTATAACACCTCTGCAACAAAACTATTATTTGCCCATTTTAATAAAGAAATTAAAGCTTACAAGGTTAAAGCAACTGGTTAAAGACAAGAAGTGCATGTTTTTGTTTTCTAAAATGAGATCATGAGGCCACCCTGAATATCTAAAAATCACAGTTGTACAACAAATAGATTCTTTGAAGTGACTTTGGGGTTGAGCAAGTATCTTTTGTTCGTCGAGAAGAAGATGGTTCCTCATTTCATACTAAGGGGTGTGAGCATTTCATCAGAAAAGAGCCCCAGGCATTGGGCTGTTAAATGAGCCCAGTACATTGTGGATCACCTTGGTTTTGCCTGTGAAAGGGAGAGAATCAGTCAAGAGAACAGCTAATAATTCTGTGCAAGAAGGTTCTTTATTTGTACTCTCAATACTTTGCATTTGTTAACTCTTTTAACCTCTGGCAGCCTTTGAGGTCTGTTCTGTTATGAACAGAAATGCATTTTACTCTGGTAAGTGAGAACTGTGTGTCCTAGCCACTAGACTAGGTCCCACAGCTGGTTTTGTGGCAGCAGAGGATTGGACCCAGCTCATCTGGCTCTAGAGTCTGTACTCCTTGGACACAGAAGGGTGAAGAGAAGTACTGTACATTGTTCCTACTCTTTTTTTTTTTAATACCTTATTTTATAGATTCTCATGCCTCAGCCATCTGAGTAGCTTGGATTACAGATGTGAGCCACTGAGCCTGGCCAGCCTCAATTAATTTTTAAATGTGATAAGTTCCCATAAATCCATCACAGACCCTAAAACTGGAATTTACATGTACCTAGACCAAAGATAATCACAATCCGGAATTTTCCTTTCACCATTCCTTTGCTTTCATTTTAATATTGTTTTGTGCCTCTGTATTTCTAAAAAGTATGCTTTTATTACCATGTTTGACTTTATAAAAAGGATATCATGCTCTATAATCTGCTGAGATTTATATTCCCTTATAGCACGTTGCTAAAATTCATTCATATTGTTGCAGGTGCTGATGCTGTAGAACACTCACTTTGAGTCTATATAATAATCTTTCCTGCGAATATACCACACTTTATTTATTCACGCTGTTGATGGCATTTGGGTTTTTTCCAGGTTTTTTGCTATTGTGTACACACTTCTTGAAACATTGTTCTGCATTCCTGTTGATCATGTGTTAAGAGCTTCTTTCATTCAAGACATGCACATATACATATATCTAGGAGCGGAATTGCTGGTTTGATAGGGCATGTGATGTTAGACTTCATAAAACAATGGCAAACTATTTCCCAAAGCAGTTGTTCCAATTTCCACTCCTAAATTAGTCAGGTATGGTGGCGCACACCTGCAGTCCCAGCTACCGGCAAGGCTGAGGTGGGAGGACTGCCCTCATTGTTCCTACTCTTATAGAGAAGACAAAATTGACAACTTTTGTAAAACATTTAATGGCACAATAATTTTGAACTGAATCAGGTGACCAGAATTTGAGCAATTAGGAATCCTTGCTG